CCTTTTTTTAGTGAAAACTTGTAAATAAATTCTGAGTTTCTAAGTCAAGCACTCTCTTTCATAACTTGCTCTATCTCTGCGTACAATGGGAGTATCTAAAAACTCAGCTTCATCCTGCTCCAGCTACCAGAGTTACTGTTCCTACATGAAATATTTTTTTCTCATCCCTGTGGCACTTGTATCGTCTCTTTGCTATGAAGCTGTATTTTGGTTTATGTAGCAAACTTAGTGAGTTGTGGTAACACTGGCCAGAGCAGGATCACTTTAAGCTTTAAATTCTAGAGTAGGTAGATCTATTATCAAGTATTTCTTTATCATAATCTTTGTGTAATTCTGAGGTGATGAGGATACGGTCTGGATCAGTTATTTTTCTTTATCTGTCTTTCATGGAAACTGGATAGGATGTATGTGGAACACATAAAACATGGAAGGTATGCAGGCCTTCCTGTATTTTTGTAAATTTTTTGAAAAAAAAAAACAGCGGTTGATGTTTCCATTGCTGATGCATTGGATTGGAGTACTGAATGGTTTGAAGCACAGCTTACATATCATCTCCTTTTCATATGTATTGACTGTTAAAACACTACTTCTTACTGAAATAAAAGCCAGTATTAAAGATCACAAGCAGCAGCTGGAACGGGTGAAAAGTGATTTCCCCCATCTTCGTGACCTTTCAGAAGGGCTGAAGTTTCAACGCATGGCTTACAGCACGTGGGCAGATCGCTTCAAAATCAATTAGGCACGTGCAGTAAAAAGGAGCAGCAGTTCTGTGTAGCAGGAATCCTGCATTTGAGGTGAAACTGGGACGGTGTTTTACCCGGCAGATGCAAAACTGTGATTCAAAGTGGGGCAGCAGCTGAAGATCAGGTCTCCCAGGTAATGAGCAGGGCAAAAGGGTAGACAGCAAACAGGCAGAGAAAGGAGCACAGCAAGGGAATAACTGCACTGCTGCTGCCTCCTTGTGTGGCTTTGAGCAGTTCTGCTGTGACCAAGTTTAAACAAGGCGAAGCACCTCAAACCTGGCAGGGGCTGAGGTTCTTCAGTAACAGGGAACGTCCAAAAATGTTTCCACCTGGCAAAGAGCTTCCCATGCAAAGTAACCCGCGATCCAGCCGTCACTTCAAACCATGAAGAGCAGCCATCACTCGTACCTGGCACAGAAGCGACAATAACCAGAACATTTTACAGATCAGGATGAGGACTAAGACTTTTCAGTGCAGAGTAATTGGTTCCGGTAAGGATTTGCAAACAGAAGATGGTTTCACAGCAGCAGATTGCAGTGTGGCAGTACGAGTCCTGGCTGGCTGCATGGGGAAAAGGACGGTTGTGGGATACCTCACAGGGTCTTTAGTGCAAATACAGACAGGAATAAAATAGATCGGTTCCCTATGCCTGTACTGTTAAAGGTTTTGTTTTGAAGGGCATAGGGACAGGCGAAGGGAAAAGTAGGAAGGTAATGGGTTTGTACATGAATAAGTGAGTCTCAAACTCTAATTATCCATGACATCTCACCTTTGGCTGCAATGTTATGAATTTAAACTGTACTCTCTTAAATACCCTGCCTTCTTTGATGTACCTTCACAGTATAAAACTGAATGTTTATCATACCAATTTATTAACGTGCCCCCATTTCTTACAAAACCCGAACTGCAACAGCTTAAAACCCAGTTGCATCTATTATGACCTTATTATAGCATACAAGTATCTAAAGGGTGGGTTGAAGGAGGATGGAGCCACACTCTTTTCAGTGGTTCCCAGTGACAGGACAAGGGGCAATCGGCACAAGTTGGAACATAGGAAGTTCCGTTCAAATACACGGAAAAACTTCTGTACAGTTTGGGTGACAGAGCAGTGGCACAGGCTGCCCAGGGAGGGTGTGGAGTCTCCTTCTCTGGCGATTTTCAAAACCCGCCTGGATGCAGTCCGGAGTGATGTGCTCTGGGCAATCCTGCTTTAGCAGGGGAGTTGGACTAGATGATCTCCACAGGTCCCTTCCAACTCTGGTGATTCTGTGATCTACCCACGTTTTCTATGCGGACCCTCTCTTGCAGGTGAGCAGGCTGCGCCCCACAACCAGAGCGGCCTCCGCACACCGGAGCTGTGCTGGCCGAAGCACAGTCCTTACAACCACAGCTGATACAACATGCCTTGTCCTGCCTCAAATACGGCTGAGACTGCTCAGGTTTGGGAAGTCTCCCCAGAGACCAAGCAGAGCCCAGGTAGCGCTCACCAGATTGCATGAGATCCAGAACCCAGGGCTGCTGCTGGACCCTCTGCCCTCTCTTGCCCGTCGTCCCCCCCAGGCTCTTGCATCTCTTCTCAGAGCTGCTCTGCTTTGTATTCTTATCGACATTTCTTTAAAGGCTTTCTGGGCACCTCCAAGGAAGGCAGGAGGCAGCATGCACCACCCCACCTCAAAACACCCCAGAATATTTGGGTAAACTGCAGCTTAGAACAATGGGATTTGACGGCGAGTAGAAATTATATATTTGGCATGAAGGGCATTGTCATTCCCACATGGGTACGGACAACCCAGCCAGGAAAACAAGACTCAAAATGAGCAAGCGATTCAATACAGATGTGGAAGGTTTACTGCCTTTAATGTAACACACACTGAATTATTGTCATTTGTTGTCTGGTTTCTAAAACTCTACAATTGTCTCATATTTTAGATTGACTCCTTCCCAGTTTCCAGCGATGGAAAACGGAGAGCTGCGATTCTTGGGCCATCCCCTGATGGCAGGAGGGGATCAACGCTGTGATTCTGGGACTGGGGGGAGCCGTGGCAGGCTCATAGGGGAGGCCGTGTGGGCTCTCTGTGGGGCTGGGTGGGCGACCCTGGAGCCCCGCTCCCCTCAGCGCAGGCCTGGGCCGCCCGGCTCCCTTGGCCTGGGCCTCGCTTCAGGGGCTCCCGCTTTGCTGCTCGGCTTGTGCTGCCGTCTGAGGGAAAGGCCCCGCAAGGGGACAAGGGCTCTTTCCCCATGCCTTGTTAGCACCTTGTTGTGTCCCCGTACAGCACATAGGCCCCCTCAGACGGCCAGAGGCCAGGTGGGACTCGAACTGGATGGTCCCTCATGTTCTGACCAGCCTGAACGGTCTTATATGGCTTCATCCCCTTGCCGTAGCTGTAACGGCAGCACGAAGGGGAGGTTCCCCTGGTGGGTTGGGGTG